GTGTCAAAGCAGTTTGGAGAGAAAAACAAAGTAAAGAACAAAAAAAAAGAAAAGAAAACGATTAATCGATTATTAAGTTAATCGTCGATTAATCATCGTTGCAGCCCTACTGTTCATAACTAAAGACTTTTCAGCATCTCTTTCACAAAAAGGCCACCCAGGTTATATTTCAATTACACAAAGAATAAAGYACCAATCAGCAAACATTTTGAAGTCATCAATGAATCCACTCACCAGCCCTGCTCGCTTTTAAATTTGTAAACTGATCCCAAAATGTGACAGAGAGCACCGCCCGCCTTAAAATCCAGAAAACACTTGGCCTGAAGAAAGATGACAAACRTACAGAAAGTAAAATTTGAGCATTCAAGACACAGCTATGCTGGCAGCTAGTGGCTCTTAATAATGAGTGCTTGCTTACAGGTAGCTTGGTAAGAGGAGGATTGTTAACCCTCCGTCCAAACGCATCCTCTTGGAACTGCAGCAGCTGGACCACAAGGCCAGCCAAAGATTTACTGGAAGGGGAGTCATTCTGGACATACTAAGATGAGACAAACAGACATTTCTGTAATTAATTGTACACTTTATGGAGTATTTAAATAATTCATGATGAACGATGAGGAACATACAACAAATGAGCAATAATCCATGATGATAGCAATGTTAATGGAATAGATAAACAAACGAAACATACGATTTTAAATCATGAGACACATTATTAATTAATAATCACAATTACATCTTTGCAACCACTGATGAGCCAATATGTAAATAATAGCTAGTTCAAGCTAAAATAGTAGCAAAAATAATTAGCATTGTGTTTTGTTTTGTTTGTAAATGCCATATGAAACATCACTCTCTATGTTAGCCAGCTTTCATCCATTTTTGGCTTGAGATACGAGTTACTGTCTCATTTAAGACCTGATCTGATGAGAAATGCACACGTATAACAGTGACTGAACATTCATACAACTTGACTCTAGTTTCTCTTGTAACAAATGAGCCTCAACTCAGCATCCACAGCTCCCTCCCATGTGATATTTGATTAAAACTTTCACTTGTTTATAATTCAAGCTACCTAGRCGTGATAGTGGGTTTAAATCAGAGCATGATATGAACACTCTTTGTTTGGCTAACTRAAGTGGGCGACGGAAGCTGGAGCCTCCACTGTCTGATATGTTGCTGTGTTGACAAAACACTGCAGACACTCATCATGTTCATTATATGTGACTGACAGTGGTGGACAAAGTACTCAACTCTAGTACTTGAGTAAAAGTATTGATACTCATGGTCAAATCT